CTAACATAGTTTTCGAGCCATCGCAGCAGCGGAGATCGTTCGTCATCGACCCCGTCGCGTCCAGCGCGGCAGGTTCCTCGGGGGAGCCCGAAATCGTCGAGTCCACCGGGCCGAGCTCTGACGGCGTTTCGTCCCGACGGTGGCCGTGGGGTGTCTGGGGCTGCCCCTGCCGCCGGACATGGTCTCGATCCGTTCCATACCACCATGGGGTCGGGTCCAGACCATCTCGGGCGGCGTGGACCCACCCCAGGCGCCTCGGGCTGCCCCTCGGGACCTCGAGCCGACCGACGTCGGGTTCGACGGCTTCCGCATGGTCGACGCCGCCCCAACCGCGCTGGATCCGCGTCGTGGCGGGTCGACGCCCGAACGAGGGCGTTTGGGGCGGTAGCGAGACACCTTCCCCAGTGCCGATCCCGGCGCATAACGCTCAGACGCCATCGCGAGCGCCGCGAAGAAAAGCCCATGCAACGACGGCTTTTGCTGCACTGTGCCGCTTCAACAGGGGACAAACTCAGAGTAAATACCCCGGCGGGACCTTAATCTTACGAAACTCCCTCAAAAAGCTGATGGACGACCACAAAAACCCAACGACGCCGTGAGCACACGCCTGCGGCCTCGTACGACGCGATGGCGCAGGACGCCGGGCACATCTACCTCTGCAGCACCGAGGGCCACGCCGTGGAGCCGCCCCCGGGCGGCCAGATGGACTACGCCGGCCTCGCCTGCGTGTCGGACCCCGCGGACCCGGGCGGCCGCCGCGGGAGCTTCGGCGAGCTCGCGGAGACCGTGGTCTGCTCGTCGGCGTCGAGCGTCCTCGAGCTCGACGGCGCGCGCGCCGCCGTCGACATCGCGGAGACGCAAATCGACGACGTCACGCAGATCGGGAGCGGCTGGCCCAAGCAGGTCGACTTCGAGTTCATGCCCGGCGCCGACGACGACGACGAGGAGGAGAAGGAAATCTACGAGGGCGCGCGCCTCCAGCACCTCGCGGCCCAGGACAAGGTGAGGCACGCGCTCGACGAGCCGCCGCGGCTCAAGTCCGCGCGCT